TTAGCTCACAGAAAATGATCATATTATCCTGGCATTTTATTGACTCTTGAAAACGAAAGAGACAGAGACAGGTATTTTTATTGACTGGGCTGGTGCCCTTTCAATACCAAACTGATGAACCAGCACATTAAGGCAGCCACAGATTCATGAGCAGCCTGTGGCTTGATAAACAGTTTTGGAGCAAAGAGAGTTTACTTGGATAACTAGAATTGTGACAATAACATCCCACAGGCGCCATAGAATGGAGTAGCACTCGTCTGAATCACAATCCTACTAAAATAACCCCCCAGTTCTCGTGTTCTGAGTCGGGTCCTCCCAGCAAGCTCCAGTTTTGCAGCCCTTTGGTGACTCAGCACAGATGTAATTTTGACTTGCCGATAATTAATTTATCATTAGAGAGCAACAGTCTAAAATTTAAGGTATAGGATGAAAAATTACAGTGATAAAAGCTGGCAAGAAGCAACTATAGAAGCAGTTCAGCAATAAAGCAAGAGATGTTTCCTCTGGCAGGGAGCAAAGGTACACCAGCAACTTCCCCCCTGCCTCGTGGCTGCTTCTAAGAGAGGAGTAATTAAGAGTTATGCTGTCCAGAAGAGACACATTTACATTGATCTCTTATCAGAAGAGCATAAGAGAAAGAAAAAAATCAGCTCTCTGTGGTTATCTCCTCTCCCAGACACTCACCTGGCTCCCTGAGACAGAGCTGGGCTCAAACAGACCTCACACAGCAGCCCCTTTGCAGAGAAAATTAAAATAAAACCTCTTTTCAGATGATCTATCCCCCATAAAACACTTAAGCCAAAAGCTCCTTGGGGAAGGAATGGGAATCTTAATTTTTTTGGCAGCCCCTCCAAGACAACATAAGTGTTCATCTGTTTTGTGCATCATCCACCCCAAACACAGGAAGGGACCCTAAAAATGAGTGTTCAAGCTGCACCCTACCCCTCCTGTGCCCAGGTGCTCTAAAGAAATCTCCAAAGGCATAAAAACTCCCATTTTCACCTAAATGAACCCCAGCTTTTCACCAGCACTAGTGAGGGAGGGAAAAGTTAGTTCTCCCAAAAGCAACACTATCCAAGGATTTGGTGAGCTGCTCTGACATGGGAAGAAACAGGCCCAAAACCCTCAGAAATAAAGCAAGAGGAAGAATTTGAGATCTTCTCTGAAACTGTTCTTGACTAGGAAAATATTTCACACAAACACACATCTCTGGAAGCTGGTCTGTTATCAAAACATAGTACTTTTGGATAAAAACTTTCTCCAATGAAAAAATCCAACCTGGAAAAAGGGACAGTTTGAGGTAGGGAAACAGAATTATAATCCAATCAAGCCCATCAGGGAGAACCCAAACCACCACCTTATCTGATCCAGAAGGCACAAAGCCATTAGGACAGAGCTGGCAGATTTAAAAAATACTATTTATATTTTAGAAAAAGACATTCCAATCTATTTTTCTTGTTCCCTTCTTCTCCCACTACACCTTTGCACCTTTAGTCCAGACTGGTTTTTTTACATCCGACTACATGAGAAATATATTGAATATTAATAATTACATTGACCAAAATCAGGAACTGAATAGGCAATGCTGATACCAATACACAGACCAGCCCCAGCACCCAGCCCGAATTTGGGTGCTGGAATTCACAGCATGATGGACAAACAGGGAGGAAGAGGGACACAAAACCAGGTGACAATGACATTCCCAAGGCAGGATTTGCACAGGGATCTCTGCCAGCCACAACCACCAGGAAAAACAAAGGGGGGAAAAAATACTCCTAGACATAATCTCATAATTAATTTAAAATCCATCGATCATAAAAAGGATTTCTAGAAAACCAAGATTCAAATATTGTGGGAACAGCTGCATTTTAACCAAATACCAGAAAAAAACCCTCATCAATCAAAATAACTTAGCAGCTTAATCTCTCAAACACTGTTTTTTAGCTTGATTTGGGAACTATAATGTCACAATGTGATACCAAGACTTTAACTTGGTACCTCACTCATCAACCTACAGTGCCTCAAGTGTAAAAACCTGTTCCATGAAAAAAAAGAATCAGAGATATCTCAGTTCCAGGATGAGTTATTCCTCATTCCTTCCTTTTTAAAGGAGACTGGAGAGTCTCAAACTTCAAGCAGATTGGGTTGGAGGTCACAAAACCAAGCTAAAACAAAGCCAGTGCATTTTCTGCCCAACCTCAATTTCATCTTCTTGAAATAAAAGGAGCAAAGGATCAAAGTTCTGGCTGCAACAAGAGGAACTTCACTCAGAAGATAAAAAATCTCTGCTTAAAAGAGGATTTATTTACAAAAAACTAGAGAAATTCAAAAAAGACATTAAAATGCACCAAGTGATTCAAATTTACTCCAAAAGAGACTTTGCAACTATTAATAAACACACCTAAATTTAGGAACTTTTGTAACAGGTTATGTTAATTGGAAACCCAACCTCATGACACAAAGCAGGAGCAAATCCTTCTGTTTTGAAATTAAAATTTTGCATGATGAAAAGGCTGAAATTGTTTCAAGGAAAAGTGGTGAAATTCCAGCCTCAGAGCTGCAAAAAATACTGTGACTGAGCTTTTCCTGGGAATCAATAACAGCGAGTCTACCTGGAGAACAAACCCAGCCTCCACACTGCCTGAGAAATATCCCCTACTGAGGAGCTCCAGCATTCTACAAGCACTGGATAACTGGCAGTGATCACACCATAATCCACTTCAATTCACAGCAAAAGGTGGGTTTTATTCTTTTCAAGAGAGGGAAAAAATAAAAAACTTTCTCCTGCCGAAGAGTTGTAAGCAAAATTACAAGTCTCTGAAAAGAACAACTCATATTTCAGCTGGAACACCTGCACTTGGATTATTACATTGTGTTTTCCACCCTGTTATGAATTCCTACATGGAAGTCATTGTGAATTCACTCAAATACATCCACTTTTTGAAGCAAACTATAACAAAAACCAGTTGCCTACCTGGGACACAGCATGTTCTTCCAGGAGGGAAGGAGGAAAAGCTCACTGAGGATCCAAACTTTATCCCTGCTCCCATATAATCCCAGAACTCCCACCTGGGCCATATTATCCCATTTATTAACCAACCACCAGCCCTCAGCATGCAAAGGTGGGTTTGTTCTGGGGCAAATCCAGCTCAGCTGGGGAGATTCCTGATGGAAGTGTTGGCCTGGGAGCACCTGGAAAGCCACAAAACCAGGGCAAGAAGCTCAGGGAGACTCAAGGTGTTGGTGTAGAAACATCAGAACATTCTGATGATGTTTCTAAGAGAAAAAGAGACAAATTCCCCCAAAAAATTATAGAAATAATATGTGTAATATCTGAGGCAGGGTTGCAAAGGCATGAAAACCAGCTGAAGGGAGGTGTTTTAATGGCCTTGTGTCAGCTCAGAATAATTTCATTTATTGAGAACAGCTGCTCTTCTGATTATTACCCCGAGCATTAATTGTCTTTCTCCTGACTCAAAATGCTCCATTGCAGCACAGGGAGGAGACACTTTTACCAAACAAATCTGGCCTAAGAGAAGCAGAAGTGAAATGGAACAAATATTTTGGCTTTTTTTTTTTTTAGTAGTGCTCCGTAACAAGGCAAAGCACATTCCTCAGTCAGTTCATTCACTGCATGAAAAATGAGGAAAAATGTATCAAAATGAGGGATTTTTTTGAAAACTTCACAGTTTATGGTGATGTTTAAATATGGTGTGAGAAGAGATTTAAACAAGGAAACCAACGGGAAGAGCTGCCTAATTCACCCTGGGAGTGTTGGGATCAGACCCAAAATTCATCCCAGCACTGGGAAAACATCCCTGGCTTACAACTGCCCGAGAAAACAAGTAAATTCCAGTCCCTAACCATGGCACTTTAGCTTTATTTCTAAAAAAAACAGTAACTGGGACAATTCTGTGTGTCACAGTTAATGTGTCAGAGCTGGTGTAAAGTTCCTACGATGAGAGGAGGTGAGTTAATAAGGAAATATGTCCAACGTGACAGCCAGAGGTTATTTAATGTCATATTTTATTTTGATTTTGGTAAATCAGCTTTTTAAAAACATGCCCACAGACCCTCTGGGCCACCACAACCCCTCAGGACCGATGTGAGTGCCAAAATCTCTCCCTGGCTGCCTCCTCATCCTCCCAGCAGCCAAGGGATGATCCCACGGCATCACTGATCCATCAGCAGCTCAGAAATAGGAATTTTCAGTAGACTAATAAAGTGAATTATGCATCTCTCAGTACTTCTGAAAGTTTCAGATTTATTTGTGCCAAAGAACAATGGTTTTAGGTTGTTTTTTTTTATACTCTCTAAATAACTTTAATACTCCTTTAGACAAACCTTTATATAGTTCATGACCATGTCTAAAGTACTAAATAATACTGATTCAAAGATAAAATAGCTTTAAATCTTTCCATGTGATTTTAAGAAACCTACTGCTCACGTTCACATCTGACTGAGCTCTACAAATCAAACTCTGCAATCTTTACCGAAAATTTTATTTTTTTTAGATTATCAGAACCGATTCCTGGAGGGGTTTGGACCACGGGAGATTTGCAGGAGCTGACCTGATGAGAATTACAGTCAGGCCATGAGTTTCTTTACATAATTTGAACAGGCCAATTACAAACCTGGAGCCTGGGATGGGAAATCCCCTTTCCAAGCTGGTCCTGCTGGTGTTTGGATGCTGGTTCCTCTCAGCCATCACAAAGGACGTGTCGCTTCTTGGGGCTGCCAGTTAAAACTAATCCATATATTCACAGAGTCACAGAATATTCTGTTGGGAGGGACCCACAAGGATCAAGTCTAATTTTTAAGTGAGTGGGGATCAAACCCACAAGCTTGGTGTTACCAGCACCCTGCTCTAACCAACTAATATTGCAAATATAAATAATTGTGTGAAAATATTGTGAAAAGCAGACACTAAACCATTTCTGATGCCCATTTCTCCTCTCACAGGCACAGGGAAAATCCTGTTTTCCAGTGACATTGTGAAGTAAGAAAACACACAGGTACCCCCAAAATGCCAAGCAGTGGAAGGAGTTCTGGAAAACTTATTCCAAAGTCCAGAACACTGGACTTACAAGGGAAAAACTCCTAGCAGTGCTGCAAAAAGCACCTCCTATTCTCTTCAAGGCTTTTTTATCTTTGCCAGGCCCTCCCCTGTAGCCTGTGTGAGTTTATCTCTCCTCCCACCACAGACTCTGTAATTCTCCTCTGGAACACAAGAGGAGAAAACATCCAAATTATCTTTAAAAAGGTATTTTTTTCTTAGGCAGGAAAGGCTTCCTAAGCGAAACAAGGCCTAATGTCCTCGTTACAAATCTTCTGGAAGGGTATCTGCACTCGACAGAAGACACCTTCTCCCTCTAACTCTACCTCAGGACCTCGAGAACATCCGGGTAGAGCAGGAAGCCCGTGAAGACGCTGTCGTCCTCCGCGCCCGCGTAGACCCCGTTCCAGTCCCGCGCCACCTCCAGCCACACCTGGTCTCCTGCACCAAGCTTCAGGATGGTCAGGAAGGAGGCCTGGTCGATCTCCTGCCCGTGGACGGTGTCCCTGGCCTTGGCCACCCTCCTGGTGCGCGCCACGAGGCCGACGCGCGCCGGCCGCCCGCGCACCGTCAGGTGGAAGGCGAAGACGTAGGTGCCGGGCACGGAGCAGTTGAACTTGCCGGTGGAAGGGTTGTAGTCCCGCTGCTCGTTGTACAGAACCCTGTCAAACCTGATGGGCACGTTGGGGGGAGGGAAGGGCTTGGACAGCCCGGCGCTGAAGGCCGATCTCGGGGCCTTGGCGGGGTCCCCGCCGCGCGCCCTTGGACCCCGCGCGAGCCCTTTCTTGGCCCCGCGCCCACCCGGCCCCCCTTGGTTGTCTGCCAACCCCTTGGAACGGCTCCCTGGTCCCATCATTATGCCGGCAGGGCCCAGGTCCCTTTTCTCACCTTTAGTTCCTCGCTCGCCCTTTTCTTCCCTGTTTTGTCGTTGCCCACCCCCCGAATCCCACTTGCAGCCCCCATGTCCCCTTTGCTCCCTTTTTCCCCCTTGGTCCCCCCTTCCCCTCTGTCTCCCTTCGCCCCTCTCCCCCCTGGCTCCCCACAGTAGCCCTTCTCCCCCGTGTCTCCCTTTTCCCCTTTGTCACCCTGTTCTCCCACCACTCCTGGGTCTCCGGGATCCCCCCTGTCCCCCTTGGCTCCTTTGGTCCCGTTCTCACAAGTGTCCCCTTTGGACCCCTTTTGTCCCTTCAGCCCAGGGAAGCCGTAGTTGCCCTTATTGCCTTTGGCTCCGGCTTCACCTGGAACAGGGAAAAGTAAGGGGGGAAAGGAAGATTAAAACACCAGCAGTGTTGGATTGTTTTGGAGACAGAGACAGCAAAGGGAAAGGTCAGGGCAATATTCCTGGTTTCCCAGCCTGTGTTACATACCTTGCAGCCCAGGTTTTCCTGGATAACCGGGATTTCCACTTGCTCCTCGCTCGCCTTGCTCCCCTTTTCCTCCTAGAACATTCCACCATTAATGAATTCATTACTCGGTGCTGGTGTCTGCAGCCAGCAATCATCACACAGCAATCAATCCATTGGGACCATTTCCATGTGTCCCTCACTTCCCTGACAGAACAGACACTAGCATTGTGTGTTTGCAAGAAACCCCCTCAGAAACCTCGGCTGAACCTCACACCTCAAGAACCATCTCACTCTGTGCTGGATTTCTGCCTCACTGGGAGGCAGTTCCTGCTGCTTAACAGCAAGATGCAGAAGGTGACAGCATTCCTCACTCCAGGATTGCCAAAAGCCTTGTTCCAGAGGTGAATCAAGGCCTAAAAGGCTGACTAAACAGCTCAGCACTCTGCTGCTGGAAGCCCTTTCTCTTGGAAAAATAGGGTTTCTTTACATTTTGTGGTATTGGATGAGGACAACAGCATTTGCTTTACCTCTCTCTCCTTTAGAACCTTTTGGACCTTGAGGGCCTGGAGCTCCTGGCAGACCTGGCAGACCATCATCTCCCTTGTCCCCCTTGGGACCTGAAACACAACCACATGAACAAAATTATCTCAGTAACTCAAAGGTTTCACTCTATAAACAACATCTGCAATAATTGCTGAGCAACCTGGTACTGGGGAGTGTGTGGAAGGGGCTTCCATCCCTCTGGGAAGAGCTGGGTGTTTTATTTGACATCATACAACCAGTGTAAATCTTACAGTTCTGCATTTCACCCTTGGCCGTAGTTAAAGACTTTTTAAAACCAACTTTGAGCTGCCTCAGAGCCACGGGAGCTCAGACAGTGATGAAACTTCAGAAGTAATCACTTTTTAATATCTGAGTGCATCTAAGGAGTTCCCATTGCTTCGGAATTGCCCCTCTCCTTAAAGAGAATTAAGTCTGCAAATACAGAAGTGGCACCTGGCTGACAGTTCCTTGCTGCAGAAAGGATGGATTGAAAGGCAAGGAAGCTGGCTCCAATCTTTCCTTCATTTTTACATCCACCTGGGAATCTCAGAGACTCCCAGTGAATGTCTGGGAGCAGATTATGGCACCTTCAATCATCCAAAGGACTTTTCCATCAACACTCCAGAGACATAAGAAATCAAACTCCCTTTGCAGCCACTAAAACTTCCATCAGCCAATCCCTCCCGAGCCCTGGGAAGTGAGAATCCCTGGAGTACATTGTATTAAAGGAGAATTATTTCATGATTTTACCACCTTTCTTCAGCTGAACAGTTTCTCTCTCCAATATTGGTGCTTTTAAAGTGAACATTTGCAGACTAATGCACTATTCATTCGAGCAGGATGAGAATGAGGTGCTCTATAAGGTGTATTTTAGCAGTAGAAAGAAGAGACAAAGTGTGTTTTATGAAATATTTATAAAGAGCTGTCTCTTGTGAGAGGTCCTTTATTTATTTATTTTTGGGCTCGAACCCAAAATTATTCCTGTACTTAATTTCCTCTTTTCCAGTGGGGAAAAAAAAAAAAGATGAGAAAAAAAGAGAGGGGTTTATTACAAACCTTCAGCAAAGATGCAAAACCGCTCCAAGGTAGTTTTGAGGCTCACAAAGCCATGGTTGGAGTGACTGGGAAAGTAAATCTGTGACTCTCAAGGGCTCAGACACAGGGACAGAGAATTGAAGAGTGTGGCCACCTGCCAGGAATGGGGGACAGGGCTCTGCTCAAGTCCCACACCAGTGTGATTTCATGGGAGGGAGCTCCTTTTGGGGGCCTTCCCACTCGTTTTGGTGGTTTATAACTCCTGGGATGTGACCAGAATGCACTTTTTTGCTTTGGATTTACACAAGGTGTGATCACATTCAGCATTGCATTGAGTTATAGAATATCCTGAGCTGGGAGGGATCCCCAAGGATCATGGAGCCCAACCCTCAGCCTTGCACAGGCCCATCCCCAGAGTCCCCCCCTGTGCCCCAGGGGATCATCCAAACCCCCCTGGAGCTCTGGCAGCCTTGGGGCTGTGCCCACTGCCCTGGGGAGCATGGTCAGTGCCCAACCAGCCTCTGGGGGAAGAACCTTTCCCTGAGATCCAACCTGACCCTGCCCTGGCACAGCTCCAGCCATTCCCTGGTGCTGTCCCTGGTCCCACAGAGCAGAGATGGTGCTGCCCCTCCACTGCTCACGAGGAAGCTGCAGATTGCTGTGAGGTCTCCCCTCATTTCCACACGAATCATTTCTCGAAGGAAAAGCTCCTTGATGTGGTGTCTGTGAGGGCAGTGAGAGGGTGATCCCCCTACCTGGGGGTCCCTGCTCCCCCGGCAGCCCCCGGGGCCCCATGGAAGGGGGGCAGCAGTCGCAGCAGTTGAAGAAGAACTCGGCCGTGTCCAGGGTGTAGTTCTCGAAGGGGAACATCGTGGTGGCCCCTCGGCTCGGGGGGGGTAACTCAGCTGCACCTGGAGCTGCCGGGACTGGGATTTTCCCCGGGAGAAGGGTGGGAGGGGGGCGAGAGGCCACCAGCTGTGGGGGCTTTGGTTTCGTGTACTTCACGGCCGGGGTCACCTTCGGCCCCGCGCGCACGACCACGGCCACGGCCAGAGCCAGGAACGCCCAGACGGGCCCCGGGGAGCTCCACATCCTGGCAGCTGTGGGAAAACACAAACACAACAATAATCCCTCCAAAACACCCTCTGCCTCTGCCCCACAAAGCCACAGGACTGAGCTTTGAGGCTGTGAGGGTGGGCAGGCCCTGGCACAGGGTGCCCAGAGAAGCTGTGGCTGCCCCATCCCTGGGAGTGTCCAAGGCCAAGTTGGGTTGTAAAGGACCTTAAAGCCTTAAAGGACCTTAAAGGTCCTTAGAACTAAAGGTTCCTTAAAGGACCTAAAGGACCTTTGGGTTGTAAAGGACCTTAAGGACCTCAAAGGACCTGCCACGGGTAGGGACACCTTCCCCTAACCCAGGTTGCTCCAACCTGGCCTTGGACACTTCCAGGGCTGGGGCAGCCACAGCTTCTCTGGGCAACCTGTGCCAGGGCCTCACAGGGAAGAATTTTTTCCCAATATCTAACTTAAATTATCCCTCTTTCACTTTGAAGCAGTTCCCCCTCGTCCTATCACTCCACGCTCTTCTGAAAAGTTTCTCCCAAACTTTCTTGCAAGCCCCCTTTAAGCACTGGAAGGATACAAATAGAAATCAGTAATGATTTCAGAGTCCTGCACAACTGCACAATTTATATAAAGCTTTGCTCCAAAAGAACAAATGGAAACAAAATGACACATCAAGTTTCCCAAAATGAAGTATTTTGGAATCAAAGCATCAAGCACCAAATATTCCAAAAATTTCACCTTGATTTTTTTCTGACTGATTTTCTGGACTTCCATATTTTTAGTGCAAACTATCACATCTGTTCTTTTGATTTTTAAGGTGTTGATTCAGCTGAACCAGGAAGAAAGAACACAGTAAAAAGGACATTATTTTTTTCCTATAGAACAGGTGATGCCTCTCAGGTGACTTGTCATAAAAAGCATCTTTGTTTCTTTTTTAAAGCTGTAAATACAAACAGAACAGAGTCCCTTTCTTGCTGAACCTGTAACCCAACCTTCCCTACAGCCACAGCACTTCAGTGCATGAGAAAGTCTCCAGGAGGTATTCCAACTATCCCTGCCATCCAGGGGGCAAAAGGAGATCCCATTCCAAGTCAGGCATTTGCAGGATTAGAATCTTTCCATCTTTAAGAATTCAATTTTAGAGGAAAGGGTGGTGATTTTCTTTTTTTCCATTTTCACACAAAACCAAATCATGAAATAGAAAACTGAATATTCACATAAAATTCCCAGTGGTCACTGTTGCCATTCAACACATTCTTCACCCCCTCAGCTCCAGTAAAGGCTAAAATTCTCCTTTTGAACAACATACTCATTCAGGAGTGTCCTGCCACTGCTGGAAATAATTAAAAAACCCCATAATTTCCACACAGAAAGAACCTATGACTTTAAAGATCAATTAACTTTATGGGAAGTGGTAAATCAGTTCTCAAATCCCAATAATTTCTGTTTCGCTGTCACACCCCACTTCTGCTGCAAAGCTCTAAACCAGACACACCCCAGTTAAATAGTCAGAATTATGGATTGCTGTTAAATACTGGAAAAACATAATTAATAACAAAATTATACCTTACTGGTCTGTATAAAAAATAACATGCTCAGAGCAAGGAATCATTAAACAGATTTTCATTATAAGGGGCAAGACTGTTCCTAAAATAATTATTCTTCATATGTGGAAGGTGTCCCTGCCCATGGAAGGGGAGTTGGAATGAGATGATCTTTAAGGTCTCTTCCAACCCATTCTGTGATTCTATATAGAAGCATTTTAATAAAAATGAAATTCTGGACTTTTTCTTTCCATTAACTCATCACCACTGAATTAAAAATCATTCCTTTGAATCCCCCCCACCAGGAAAGATTCTGGTTCGGGGTGGACACAAAGCAGGAAGAATTAAACTTTGCTGCAGTGCCACTTCACTCAGTACATCTATATTTAATTGCATTTAAATATCTCCTGACTGTTTACATCTGTCCTATAATAACATGGGAATAATACACTTGTTCTTTATCTGCTCCCTAAAATTCTAGTATTTAGATATTCCAGTTCACTACAGGTATTTAACCCCAATCTGCCAGTTTTAGATACCAAGGAGATTATTTAGATATCAAGATTGCATTTTCTGTTATTTAATTATTTCTAGTCCTTATATGGGAGAGGAAAAAAGTCAGTCCTCATGCAGCCATAGATTCCTTATAGCAAGTCATTTTTCTGGGGTCAAATTCCACTGCCCCTATGTCTTAAATTCTACAAGTTCATTGCAAATACCCCTCCTGAAGCCTGAACAACCAGGGTGTGCTCTCTCCTACCTTATAAACGCTCCTGTTCCCAGAAAAACCCCCCCTCCACGGCACTTGGAACAAGACAATCTTATTTTGGGAGAGAATCAGTTTTATTTGGGGAACAGCTGCTCCCGTGGCCAATAAGAGCCAGCAGAGGAGAGAAGGGGGGGATTGGCAAAGTCCCCTGAAAGGAGCAAGGTGACATCGATACCTGGGGACATTCAAACACCTCCCTGGGCTGGGAGGCTGCTCTTCACGTGGGATGGGTTTGGGATCTTCCCCCAACACCAGTTTTTGGGGATTTAGGGAAGCTCCTCTTTAATCTCACGTGGTACCACCAGACTCAGAGTGAATTTGTCCATTTGCTTGAGAAGGGTCCAGGAGAAAAGAGTGAAAACCAAAGCAGCACAGAAAATAAGCCAGTTTTGCAATATTAGGTAATTTAAGTATTAATGCTCAAGTAGGCAAACTGGAAAAGAGAATATTCACAAAGAAGTGGGTAACATGGAATTAAATTGTGCTTGAGCTGAGTAAAAAGTGTTAAAAGGAAGTTAATGTTCCCGTGTGAAATCACAATTCCCATTTCTCACAGATTTCCCAGGATTTAGCAGCTCCTGGAAGAGCCCCTCCCACACACATCCCCCAATAACCTGATTTTCTGAAACACTGCAACGTGTTCTGGTTTTCTTTGTTCATTATCACAAAACAATTGAGCCAAACAGAAAACAGACTGAAGAGAAAATTCTCTGCTGTGCTGCTGATTAGGGGAGGGAGTATTTCTATATGAGCAGTGGAACAGATAATTAATCAATCCGAGATATAATTCCAATTTTTTCCCATTTTCTCTTTTTGGTCCTCACTGTCCAGGGCCCCCTTGTTTTCCTCCTTTCCCACTGTATCCTGGTTTACCAACAGAAGGGTGAGAATTGTTAAATTCCACTTATTAAGAGTAACTTTGGATTCTAGTCTGTAATTTTTTTCCCATGACCAAATTAGGAATCAAATGCTTGACAGAAAAAAAAACCTAAAAATGAAAGAAAAATATCTTTGGATTTTGCTTTTAGAGTTGTTCTGTTTTCAGCTTAAATTTGGGGGAGAGGGAGTTCATTTGTGATGAGAACTTTAAATCCTGCGTGGTGTAAAAATTAAACAAGTCACGTGTGTAAAGAAAGGAGACGTTCCTCATGTAGGATTTTAAATGCTTGACTGCAGAAAAATACTGCCATAGGGGTTTCCAGTGGATGCAAAGGAATGAAATGATCAGTATCATTACATTTAATGTTATTATGATTCAGATATCAAGGGGGAAATGAGATGGGAAAAACCCTGCATCAGTCTGTGCCAGTGATCCCACAAACCTTCCACCATATGTTGCTTCAAATTCTCTAAATCTGCAGGATGGCAGCACAGTTGCACCTAAATAGAGATTTATTGCCCTATAAAGTGTAATGGCCAGAAAGATCCAAAGGCTCCCATTCCCCAAAAATACCCATTTAGGGAGTTATTTAAGGACTGCAAGAACTTCACGGTGCCCATTCCATTCTATGGAGTCAGTCATTTTGGGAGCCCCTAAATGCACATTTCAAACACCAGGATCATGTAGAGATTTATGGGAGAGAGCAGAATTCTAGCACGTGAGTTGTGGGCTGAATTCCCACACTGGGGCTGGTTTTTGAAGCCTTTTTGGAGTGTAAAACATATTCCCTGGGGTGTCACCCCAGGAATGGAGCACAGTCCCACTCCAAGCCCTGCTCCAGGAGTTCCTTTGTCAGGACCTGCAGGTGCCTCTGCCCCAGGGTAAGAAACACCTCCTTTGTGCTCCTCTGGAAACTCGACAGAGCCAAAGGTAAAAAGTGATAAAATTACCTGGCTCCCCTTTTTCACCCCGGTCTCCCTTTGTGTGCCAGGGCAGGGATGTCACGGAGACCCGGCTTTGCTGGGAATGCTGTTTGCCTTGTGTGTTTGGAAAACAAAAGATCCTCAATAGCCCTACCTTTGCTCATAGCCAGGGCTGGGATTGTTTCCCCCCTTGTCTCCAGTACCAACTCTCAGGGAAGGCTTTGCACAAAGAAATAACTGTGTTTCTGACTTCTGAGTCGGATTGTGCCCTTGCCGGTGCTGAGATGTAAATGTAGGAACAGCACGGACTGAAATTCTGGGATACTGAACTCAGAGCTGGACTCAGAGCTTTCCCAGTCCTCAGCTACACTACCAAGCTTTAATTATTGCAGGTTTTAAACAAATCCATGTCCCAGCTGCACCTGCCCAAGAGGTGGCAAAGCCTCATGTCAGGCACAGCCTGGCCAAGGCAAAGTCCTCTCTGTTAGCAAAGACTTTAATTGGGAACTCATTTCTCCACATTAACCACTGAAATCGTTATTTTGACACTGGGAAATCCATTCTCCAGATGTTAATAAGCATCTTATGAGCCAAAGGACTTAGAGGTCTCCAAAGCAGCAGATTTAACTCATAGGGAATCTTGTCCTGCCCCACAGTGTGGACATAGGTGGTATGTCCCTTTACCAGGGATTTGACATCAGGAGCTGTTGCAACACACCTTGGAAACAAGGAAATGGAAATATCTAATTCCCTTTAACCCAAATTCTTCTCGGCTCTGACAAATACACACTTTGTAATAAAGTAAAGTTACAGCACAGGTCACACAGTACCTTAAAATCATGGCAGGAAGGAAAAAATCTGGGAACACAATTATGTGTGTGTGTGCTGGACTCAAAATGCTGGGCAGTTTATAG